AAATGGGGAGTGATTCTTCTGATGTATCAAAGGAATTCAAATGTAAATTTTAAACTTGTATAGTGGAATCTACCATTTGCCCAGCATTTATAGTGCGCTTATTGTAGATACTGTGAGAGGTACAGGGAAGACTGTGAGCCCACAGTTGGATGGGAGAGACAGACACAAGCAGGAAATGGTTTAAGAATATGTCCTGGGTGCTGAGGAAGCATCACAGAGGGGTGGCTCTTCCAGTTTGAGGAGTCAGGTATAGCTTCAGAAGGAGGAAGTGGAACAACCCTACCTTGTTCCTCTTACTACTTAAGGCTGGGATTGCCTTTCTCAGGCATGCAAGAAAAAAAATAATAAGTTTTCATTTCCAAAGCTTGCTTTGTTTCAGTTTTACCAAGTCTCTTGGCTTTAATAAAATAATTAAAGAAATGGGAAGCTGCCTTCATCCTTCAGATGACCCAGGTGTGGAAACTGATTAAACAATACCTAACAAACTCAATTGACCCTTGCTGCTTCACCTGATTCTCTCAGTAGAAATTCATCCTACAGTGTCATCGCTAAATGAGTCCTACAACCGGAAGAGGTTTTATCCCTGCTCTACATGCAGCCCTTTTCTTTCTCAGCTGTAGGTGAGATGCTGAGACTTGTCTCAGCTGGTGAATAACTGAATAATTTGGAAAAGTCTTCAGTCACTGTTTTTGGCCTAAAGGTTCTTAGTAGTACTGATATTACTGGCTCTTACTAATAAACCTTCAAAGAAGCCTTCCTTGACTGCCATTTAAATTAGTCCTGTCACACCATCCCATTAGCCTGCCCTTAAAAAAAATTTTTGTAACAACATTTACTACTAAGAGTAAATCCTTACTTGTTTACTTTTTCTCATTTCCTCCACTGGATTATAAGCTTCATTAGAGGAGGGCTTTTCCCCCTTTCACCACTTAGTCCACAGCACTTTTAACAGTGGTGGGTACAGGGTCAGTGCTCAATAATTGTTGAATGAATATACTATTTATTGAGCATTTACTATGTACTAAGATCTTTAAATCTATCTTCTAAGTTAATTCTCATACCAACCATATAAGCTACATGCTCTTATTACATCCCATCTTGCAGATGACAAAATTGAAGGTTAGAATGGTTAAGAAATTTGCGTCAGGCCACTCATGTAAATGGCAAAGGTATGTATGGTCAGGCATGATGGCTCATGCCTATAATCACAGCACTCTGGGAGGCTGAAGCGGGAGAATTGCTTGAACCCAGGAGTTTAAGGCCAGCTTGGGCAACATAGCAAGACCCTGTCTCTACAAAAATAAAATTTAAAAAGTTAGCTGGTGTGGTGGCATGTTCCAGCTACTTGGGAGGCTGAGGCAGGAGGATTCCTTAGAACCCAGAAGTTAAAGGTTGCAGTGAACTATTTGTTTGTCCCACTACACTCCAGCCTCGCTAACACAGCAAGACCCTGTCTCTAAATAAATAACAAAATAAAATAAATGGCAAAGGTAGACTTCAAACCCTCATGGTGAAGCCAAAGTCTTGTGCATGTTACACTAGGATACTGCAATCCTTTTGTACACCCTGGATACTTCTTTGGAACAAGAAATATTCTCACCAATATCCCATCATTTCATTGAGAATCTAGAAATTGAATAGGATTTTCTAAAATGCCACAGACACTCACAAAAGCTTAGTAAGAAAAATGACCAGGAGGAAACCTGGCAGCAATGCTTAGCATTAAACTCACATACGGGGAGTGATGGGGGATGGGAGGAAGAGAGGCGAATAGGGAGGGAGATGAGTGGATGCGAAAAGTTTCTATTTTCTGCAAACTCCCTGTTTATAAATACTACTCTACTAAATTGGTTTCCCTACCACCCTAAGGAAGTCATGAAGATATCATCATTTCATGGCATTGCCATGGGATTGGGGACATCAATACCAAATGAGCAACAGTATATAACTCCTGCTGCTCTACGGAGCTAGGATCATGTTTTATAAACATTGCAGAACTTTTATTATCCATCTTTTGCTGAGCAAAACCATATTCATTCTGCATTCTGAGTAATGGACAGGAATAGATGGATTAGAGCCCTTAAATTCTTAGTTGGAAGACATTAAGTTTAAAAGCCCTATACAGCTGAGTCAAATGCATGTGCCCATGCTGTATAATTAGCAGGCATAACAACAATAAATATATAATTTAAAGGGAAGACCAGCAGGACAAAAATTCTAACCAGCACTCTCCCTCCCATATGCAGTCATTCCCCAGTTGGTCTTCAGCTGTGTAAACTGTAACCTTGCTGGCCTTGGGGTAATTTTAATATAACAAAGGTTTGGGCCACTCCATTTTGTTCCTAAGCAGTTTATGCTTCCCTCTGAAGCCAGCTTTCAGGCATAAGTAATTCATTGCCCCTCTACTAAACATTCATTTCACTTTGTCTAAAGGGACTTAATAAATCAGCCTGGTTATTGTTTAGTGTGGCCACCCCCTGGTTTTCATGTATAAAAAATGAGCATCCAGTTGCTAAGTGGAAGTGAATGGTCACCTCGCCTGCAAGTGAGTTCCCTGGAGACTTGAGAATGTACAGAGGGAGACACTTTGGCTCTGAGCATCCAGGGAGCTTTGTTGTCTGCCACAGAGAATCTTGCTGTCTTGACTACCAAGGCTTAAGAAAGATTGTTTGGAAAGGGGAGGGGGTAAGGAGGAGGTTAAAACATGGGGTCATGGCTGGGTGTGGTGGCCCACACCTATAATCCCAACACATTGAGAGGCTGAGGCAGGAGGACTGCTTGAGCCCAGGAGTTTGGAACCAGCCTGAGCAACATAGCGAAACCCTGTCTCTATTAACAAAAAAAAAAAAAAAAAAAAAAGAGGGAGGTGGGTCAAAAGCCCAACTTTATAAAGGAAATTCCAAGGAATGCTGGCCCTAGATAAGAAATAGTTATTTGGTTGGAAGCCCTTTAGCAGAAGATGCCTGTTTTTTTTAGCAGTTTCTGGCTACTTTGCATCTTCAGGGTGTCCTGGGCAGGGAGTTGCTCTTCCTTCCTTCAATTTGCAGTTAGAAAAGCTGGGAGAAGCTTCTCAATGTGCTGGGCACCTGTTCTGTGTGAAAGATGCGGTTTTGTTTTGCATCTACAGTTCCACCCTTATTCTGGTTTGTCTTATAGGGTTAGGTCATCAGTCTTTTCTCCTAGGAGCCTTTACTTCTTTGAGTTCAGTTTGGGCCTCCCCTCAGCCAAAAGTATAGACTTCTTTCCCTCAGTTATGACAACTGGATGGAAATCCCCCTGCCCCCCACTTCCTGCCCTGGAGCTGGTGTTCCCAGTGCTGATGCCATAAACCTGAAGCACAACAAGCAGCTCTGACATCATCAACTGAGATTCGGGACTGACCTTAGCTCTGACCTAAGAGGAAGAAAATTAACAAGCAAATGCTCTTCAATTCCCAGCATCTCCTTTGGCAGTGCCAGAATTTAAAAACAAAACCAATAAATGTCAAAGTAAGCCATGTTGGGTATATAGAGTGTCTTCAAAATGGACGTAACATGTCAACTGTTCTCAAAAACTGGACGAGAAGATCAAACTCAAATATGGGGAGTTATAGAGATCTTATACTTATCTTATAGCATAAGATCTCAGAGCTATAGTCTAGTAAGAAAAACAAAACAACCTCCCCCCAAAAAACTGTTTCTTCTCCACCGGTGGCTAAAACCTTAAAGAAGCCTACCTGGATTCAAATTCCGGTTTTGCCATTTAACATCTGTATAATGTTGGGCAGATAGATTATTTTGCTGGGTACCTTACTTTCCTTGTCTGTAAAATGGGCATAATACTATACAGTAAGTACCTATCTAATAGGCTTGCTAGGAGCACCTGAGTTAAATATAAAGTGCTAAGAACAACGATGACACTTTTGGTGTTATTTTATATTTCAGCTATCATGATTATGTTAAACCACATTTTGACTTCTTTTATCCCTTTCCAGCTTATGCCCCCCAAATGACCTTCCAATCAGATTATAAGGTTATTTAACCGTAATACTATTCTGAACAGTTTATGGTGCTGATTCCTGAAATTGAAGTCTCGTTGGCAGTTTGCAGTTGAATGCAATGTCACATCCCCTAACATTGTCAGGGAATAGGTCGAGTGCTTTGCTTCCATCTTTTGCACTAAATCCACACCATTTTCAGAGAAGTGCAACCACCTACCGGTTCCTTTCCCAGATTTGACACCGTGCGGTTACCTATCCCTCCATATCTCTTCCCTTTGATGGGCCATCATTCTTTTCTAGAAGGAACATTTAATACAATGCAAGGTTTTAACCAATGGCTCATTTGGTTGGTGACAGCTTGGAAAATCAGACCCCAGGAGACAATCTGTGTTACTTTCCTAGGAAGGGGAGTCAAGGGTTCCCAGGTTTCATCATTCCTGGTCACCACTACCCTTCTATCTCCCAAGAGAGCGCCTGACGGCGTCCTTCAGCCCAGCAAAGCACAAGGCGCAGCCTCAGATCTTAGGCTTCCTACTCCCCTCCCCCATCTCATCAAGGCTCAGATCTTTAAGTTGGGACCCTTTGGCTGCTGCCATCGGGCTGGGGAAAACTAGGGGGCGGAATCAGTCAATCTGCACAGCTGCTGGAGAAGGACAGCAACTAGAGACCTAGTCAAGCCCGGCAAAGAGCTACGGGGCAGTAAGTTTCACTTCAAGAGAGGTTCAGGAATGGCTTGGTCAAGAGGTTCATTCTCACCCAATCAACGAACAGCACCAAGATCTTAGTGACAATGCCCCGCAGAACAGGGTGGAGATCATTCACGACTTTATCCTCCGAAAATCAGTTACGCTTAGGACAATCTCCGACAAGTGCCATTAAATGAACCCATCCTCAGACCAAACGCTTTCTCCCAAAGTACTGGCACGGCCACCAGCTTTGTCCTAGGAAATGCACTCCCCCAGTAGCCCAGGGCGGGATTTCTCGCCTACCCCGTCTGCCGGTAGGAGGCCCGCGCTCTTACCATTGGCGTTCTTGCCGCAGATAAGATGCTCATAGGGCTGCAAGACGCCCCAGAGCTCTGCGTCGTTGTTGATGACCATCTCCAGGGCCTCAGCAGACACCTCCCCGCCTCCGGCCCCTCCGCCTTCAGGGCTCTGGCTGGCCAGAACCCTGGCCCGGATCTCCTCCACCAGATTCTCCATGCAGGCGGTGAGCGAGATGGCTGCGTACTCGTGGATGCGTACGGAGATGCGGGTGTCCACCATCCAGCGGAAAAAGCGGCCCACTGAGAAGGTGAGGCCGCAGCGCGCGGACTTGCCCCGGCGCAGCCCGTCGCCTGCGCTCATGCTGTACAGGGACAGCGCCTTGACTGCGGCCAGCGCGCAGCTCTCAGCCAGCGCCCAGCTGTGCACCAGGCGCACGGCGCTCTGCACCTCGAAACGGGTGCACTTGGCGTGCAGCACACTCAGGCGCTGCGCCTCGCGGGCCACGCGGATCAGTGCCCTGCGGAGCAGCCCGGCCAGGCGCCTCACAGCCTCGGCGGAGAACTGGGGCAGCCGCCGGCCGCCCGCGCCTTTGCGGAGCACCCGGGCCACGTCTCCCTCGGTCCAGGGGAACTCCTCCAGCTCGGGGAGCCGCGGGCAGCGTGAGAAGAGGTCGGCCACTTCGGGGTCCTCGGGCAGCACCGTGTTCACCGTGTCCCAGCTGTTGTGGCGGCTGTTCATGGAGCCGGAGTAGCACCACCAGGCCGCCCCGCGGTGCTGCTGCGCCGAAGAGTTGAGCGCCTGCGAGTTGGACTTGGAGGACGAGAGGCTGAGCGAGCGGCACGAGTCCCCGGCCCCATACCCGGAGTCCAAGGTCAAGTCCTCCAGCGTCTTCAGAGTCGAGCTGTACGTCCCGGCCATGGGGAGCCTGCCGGGGGCGGCGTCGCCGAGCGAGGGGCGCTCACAACTCCATGCCCTCTTCTCCAAGTGGGCAGAAACAGGCTCTAGGCTCTCCGGGCCGCCCTCCTTCCTCTCTGCGCCGCGGGGCTCGGCGTCCGCATTGCCTGCCCGGAGGCCGCGGGAAGGTGGGCGAGATCCGTGGCCAGCCGGAGCCCCACGCGCCCGGTGTCCCAACTCGAAGCTGTCACTGGAAAGACCCCCGCCGTTTCCCCTCGGGTCTCCCCCTGTCGGCCTCTAATTCCCGCAAGCAGAGTGTCAGTCCTCCACAGAGAAGGAATCCCGGGGGAACAGGGAGGCGGCGGCGGCGGCGGCAGAAGGAGGAGGAGGTGGCGGCGCGGGGAGCAGCGCTAGCCCGGGACCAGCCTGCGAGAAAGCGCTCTGCAAACTTCTGTGCGGCGCCGGCCCGCGACACAGCTGGGTACCCGGGGGCGGCCGACATGTAAATAACCCCTGGCGGCTTACCAATCGGCGGCCGCGATGGGCGGGGATGCACCAATGATCTCCGAGGGGGCGGTCACTATGCAGATTTCTCTCTGCCGCGGGTGAAACCCCGAGGCGGCGGAGGCGGGGCTGGAGGCCGAGGGTGGGGCGCGCGGCTGGGATGGGGGTGGGGATGGGAGTGGGGTTGGGGGAGGGGAAAGGGCGAGCCGGCGAACTGGGAGGTGGAGGTGGAGAAGAGAAAGCAGCGGTCGAAACGATAGCTCCGGAGCTGACAATTTAAAGAAAATGCAAAGGAAAAGCCACAGTGCGCTGCCACCTTCCCACCACCCAGGCTTTGGGCGTTCGCTGCTCGCTTTCGAGCCCTCCGCAGCCAGGCGTGCCGGGGTGGGGGCCGGGAGAATGGGGAGGGCCCCAGCCAGGCGCCCCACCTCTCCCCCACCTTCGCCAGGCCCCTCCCGCAATCCGAGAGGAAACGCTGGCTGTGTTTGGAGGGAGGTGGGACGTCCCTGCCTCTCTTCCCAAGTCCGTCAGGTTTCTCTGAGCGGCTGTGCCGGCTCCAGTCGGGACAGAATTTCTTCACCTGGGATCTGATCCATGGACGAGTCCCAGGAGGCCTGTGAGTGCCTCCGCCCAGCTGCAGTTTCACCTGCAGTTTTCTGAGTGCCACTGTGGGGAGGGGGCCCCAACTTTTGTCAGAATCTCAAGAGGATCCGTGACTTCCCTGTTACCGCTGTGTGAAGATACCACTTGCTGTCAGGTGGATCCTATTTGTCCGAGCTAGAGAGCGTTCTTATAGGAAGAATGAGAAGGTGGCAGCGCCGTCTCTAGCCCTGGCCTGCTCTCAGAATACCTAGCTGGGTGCACGTGTTCCCCTCCTAACGCTTGCCGGTGGGCGAGCCGTATGCTTCAGCGGAACCCAGTTTATTCCGGGGTACAATGAGTGGCTGACCGGGGTACAAAGAGCAGCGCCGGTGCCAACCTGCCTTGGGGCGGGTGTCCCAAGCGGGCCGCCAGAGCGCTGTTGGTTCAGCAGCCCCAGGCCCGGTCCAGGCACGTCCCGCTGCTACCCTGTGGCTACTCATTCGCACCTGCGCGAACCGACATATGCCCCCTCCACTGGAACCGAAGACTCAAGTGGGGGATTGTGCGTTTGCTCTCCCCAGGTCAGCCTCTCCGACTCCTGAATGGCTTCTTTGTGTTGCATTTTACATAGTTCTGACCTTGGGCCGTGAGTTGGATATGAACTAGAAATGTCTGGTTTGTCTCTCTCCTTAAATTAATGGCCTTTACCCCCAGTGAAACTGCTTTTTATTTGGCAGTTTCGCTTACTTTTTTTCTTTCCGTGGGTCTTTATTTATGCAATGTCGCCGCCTGATGGTTAGAATTGGGAACAGAGTCAAAGATGGAAGTACTGTAATCTCAGACAGAAAAGTTTGCAGAGATCAAATTAACAAAAGAGAACGCAGTCACACTTTACAGATGTGAAATCAGAAGTTAAAGTAGGCGATGAGGTCCAACTTTTCAAAAATACAAAACCAAATTTTATGCAATTAAAAACTTTATTGGGGAAATATAATAGTAAAGGAAATGTCGCCCTCTAATGGATATATTTAAAGGAAATGAATTTCAGAAAGGTTTCCCTGCCCTCCCTTTTCTTGGTTCTGCGCACCCATCAAACATAAAGAAAATTATTCAACTGGAAATTTACAACGGGGAACTTACTGAATGGAAAGGTTATTTGAGGAAGCACCTGTAGTATTTCTCGGAAAAATAGCATATGGGATTTATATTAATATATTCAAATTACTTGATGACTTAAAGAGTAGATAATTAAACATGCCTCAAGCTGAATCTCAGAATCCTCTGAATGTTGACCTGCACCACGAAGATATATTCTGCAAAATTCAGCCATGGGAAATGCTGCTGAACAAACAACTGTCTTTAATAAATAAGTTGCAACAAAAGAAAGAGATGGAAAGGAAACCTATACATTTAAAGAGACTTTAAAAACATAACCAATCACAAGATGATTGATTTTGTTTTAAAAAGACAGTAAACATTTGATATTATGAAACCATTAGAAACACTGCCTTGATGTTTGCGATTACAAAATAACTTTTTTTTTGATGTGGTAATGGTAGTGTGGTGATGTTTAACAAGTGTTCTTATCTTTTAGAGACGCATGCTGAAATAAGTGTTTAGCAGACCTCAGGAGTAGGCTTCTTCAAGCAAAAAAGGAAGAAAAATCGTTATGGAAAAATCTGGCAAAGAAACTAGGAAGTTAGGAAAGACTCTAGATAGATCTCTTGTCTTTCAAATTTTCCCCAGTCTTCTAGTCAACCTGAGGACTGGAGGTACCAAGTAAACCCAGAATATGCCTGTGTTTGTGTTTCGTGTGACATGGGGAAAAGAACAGGAGGACGTTAGAGAATATACATATATCTCCAGCCATCTTAGAAATGAACCAATTCTTTGATTTCAGTTAAACGTTTGGGAGTTGGCCAGTGTGGTGAAATACAAAACTTTGGATCAAGAAAAGAAAGGACATGGTTTCTTATATATACGTGCATGTGTTCAATTAAGCCAATCTGCTGGTAATGTGTTTGATTTTAAGAATGCAAATTAAGAGAAAATGTCATCCCAACTTGGGCCTTATCCAAACATTATTTTTTTTTAAAGAAAAACAGCTGTCATTAAGCTGGACAAGTGGAAAAGAACATAATAGAACACTGGCAAACACTGGGACAATTCCAAGTGAAGTTGGCAATTAAGAAGCAGATCTGGAATTGCCCATGCAAAAATCATATAAGGGAGGTAGCTTGCAATAAACTTTAGAAACTTTACCTGGTGTGAGGTCTTCTAGGTGCTTACACAATCAGAAACCCTCTGGAAATTAGAAGATAAAATACCCTGGAATTTATCTTGAAAGTGAGGGCATTATAATCCCAACTATTTAAGTATAGACAGAACTGTCTGTCTTATGAGAAAGGTAGATTATGGCCTTGACTTTGGAGAGCGGCCAAATTTTAATTTAGTTTGTGGATCACCTTCGGTGTATTTGGTATATGTAGATATTTAACTCCCACAGGTGATTTTAATCAACACTGCTAGTCAGGAGGGAATGTCTTTAAGCAGAGAATTGACATGTTCACGCTTGCAGAAATCTGAAATTTATTGGAGAAAACTATAGAGCAGAGAGCATTACCTGCTTGTTTGTTGATTGTCTTTCTGTTCTACAAGAATATAAGCTCCATGAGGGAAGGGATCGTCTCCATTTGGTTCACTTTTGTATCCCATCTGCCTAGGGCAGTATGAGCACAAAGTAGAAGCTCAATAAATATTGAGTAAGTGAATGAATGAAACTAACTGGATGAATGGAGCAATGTAATGAATGGCTAGGTTTCTTTTTAAACTCTCACAGAACTCACATGTGCTTAAGACTATGTGTTGGCCGGGCATAGTGGCTCACATTTGTAATCCCAGCACGTTGGGAGACCGAGGCGGGCAGATCACCTAAGGTTGGGAGTTTGAGACCAGCCTGACCAACATCTGGTCTCTACTAAAAATACAAAATTAGCTGGGTGTGGGGACACATGCCTGTAATCCTAGCTACTCAGGAGGCTGAGGCAGGAGAATCGCTTGAACCTGGGAGGCAGAGGTTGCAGTGAGCCGAGTTCATGCCATTGTACTCCAGTCTGGGCAACAAGAGCAAAACTACGACTCAAAAAAAAAAAAAAAAAAAAAAAAAGACTGTGTGTTAAGGGAAAAGGATCACTGATGTCTGAACTGAGATTTTTGTGATACCTGCTTCCTCCACAGACTTCAGGATAGCCATGTGCTCCCCATCCATGTTATTATTATTATTATTATTATTATTGAGACAGAGTCCCACTCTGTCACCCAGGCTGGAGTGCTGTTGCACTATCTTGGCTCACTGCAACCTCCACTTCCCAGGTTCAAGTGATCCTCCCACCTCAGTCTCCCAAGTAGCAGGAACTACAGGCGTGTGCCACGACTCGTGGCTAATTTTGTATTTCTAATAGAGTTGGGTTTTACCATATTGGCCAGGCAGGTCTCAAACTCCTGACTTCAAGTGATCTGCCCACCTCAGCCTCCCAAAGTGTTGGAATTACAGGTGTGAGCCACCACGCCCAGACCCCATTCACATTAGAGAGGGGTTTCTAACAACTTGGGGAGGTGGGCTTAGGAAGCGGGGGTGTCTGTGAATCACCTAAAATTGCCTGCAACTTTTTTTTTGAGACAGAATTTCACTCTTGTTGTCCAGGCTGGAGTGCAATGGTATGATCTTGGCTTACCACAACTTCTGCCTCCTGGGTTCAAGTGATTCTCCTGCCTCAGCCTCTGAATAGCTGCAATTACAGGCATGAGACACCATGCCTGGCCCAATATTTTAAATATAAGTACAAGTTTGCATATTCTGGAGAGAGGGTCTGTGCATCTCTGCAGCACTGTTGGATAGAACTTTCTGAGATAAAGAAAAGGTTCCATATCTGTGCTAT